CTCTTCGCTTCCTAATCTGCCTGAGACACGCAGCTCCTATGGAATGGACAATCGCCTTCTTCTTTAAGCGTAGGATAAAAGTGTCGAACGAAAAGGGATAAATTGTAATATACACAGGATCGGTCCAGCGATCCTAGGACCGGTCTTAAGTTAAATTACACTTACACCCCAACACTATAACTATATTTTCATTTTTTCCTATCCCAACCCAAAATACTATAAACTAACAATCAATTGATGAAATTGACATTAAATTTCATCAAATTAATCTTTAATACATCAAATTGATACCAAATTAATATTTAATTCATCCAAATAAATATTCAATTCATCAAATTAACACTAAATTGACATTCAATTCATTCAATTAACACTCAATTTATCAAAATTAATATCCAAAATAATCCAAGAAAAATTTAATTTATCAAATCAACCAAAGTAATATGAAAATTAATCAAATAAAATTAACATTACATTTCATTTAATAAACATTCAATTAATAAAATTAACATTTAAATTTAACTATTAAATCCCATACATATTTATTTGTCAAATTAACACCAAATTTATGTTCAANTTAACTATTAAATCCCATACATATTTATTTTTCAAATTAACACCAAATTTATGTTCAATTTTTTTTTAATCAATACCAAATATATATATATATATATATATATATATATATATATATATATATTCACTTCATACAATTTATATTAATTTGGTGTTAGTTTGAAGAATTGAATGTTAATTTGATATTGATTTGATGAATTGAATGTTAATTTGGTGTTTCTTTAATGAATTAAATGTTTATTATACGAATTTAGTGTTGATTTGGTGAATTAAATATTTATTCAATAAATTTCTATATTACATTGGTGTTGGTTTGATAAATTAAATTTTATTAGATAATTTTGGATGTTAATTTAATGAATTGAAAGTTAATCGAATGATTTTGAATATAAATTTGATGAATTGAATGTTAATTTAGTATTAATTTGATGAATTGAATATTTATTTGATGAAATTGAATGTTAAGTTAATTTGATGAATTAATTATTTATTAGATGGAATTGAATGTGAATTTGATGAATTGAATATTAATTTATTGTTAATTTTAAGAATTGAATCTTGGTTCATTTGATGAATTGAATATTAATCGGATGAAATTGAATCTTAATTGAATTCATCTCATACACATTTATTTGTCAAATTAACACCAAATTTATGTTCAATTTTTTTGTAAATCAATACCAAATATATATATTCAATTCATACAATTTGTATTAATTAGGTGTTAGTTTGATGAATTGAATGTTAATTTGGTGTTACAATTGAATGTTTATTATACGAAATGTTTATTCAATAAATTTCTATATTACATTGGTGTTGGTTTGATAAATTGAATTTTATTAGATAATTTTGGATGTTAATTTGATGAATTGAATGTTAATTGGATGATTTTGAATATAAATTGGATGAATTGACTGTTAGTTTAGTATTAATTTGATGAATTGAATATTTATTTGATGAAATTGAATGTTAAGTTAATTTGATTAATTAATTATTTATTAGATGGAGTTGAAAGTGAATTTGATGAATTGAATATTAATGTTGTGTTAATTTGATTAATTGAAAGTTAATTTAGCGTTGATTTGAAGAATTTAATGTTAATTTAGTGTTAATTTGATTAATTGAATGTTAAATAGTTAATTTAAATGTTAATTTAATGAATTGAAACCTTTATAAAAAAGTTGAAATCCCAACCTAAAAAAAGTTGGAATCTACAAAAAAGTTCGAACCCGAAAACGTTGGAACCCTCCCCAACAGTTGAAACCCACCCAAAAGGTTATAATTCAATTAAAAAAATTAAAACCTCAGCCAAAAAGTTGAAATTTCTACCCCAAAAATTGAAACCCTCACAAGTGTTGGAACATCTACCAAAAAAGTTAGAAGCTACCCAAAAGAGTTGGAACCCTACCAAATAATTGAAACTAAGCCAAAAAGTTAAAACCGCAAGAGTTGGAAAGTTGGAACCTTCGCTCAAGTACCTCTACCAAAAAAGTTAGAACTTCTATTCAAAAAAGTTAGAACTCCTACCCAAAATAGTTGGAACCCACCCCAAAAAAGTTGGAACCTTTACAAAAAAAGTTAGAACCTCTACCCAAAAAAATTGGAACCCACCCAAAAAGTTGAAACCGAAAATTTTGGAACCCTTCCCCAACAGTTATAACCCACCCAAAATATTATAATTCAATTCAAAATATTGAAACAGAAATCGCTACCCAGGAGTTGCAACCTCAAAAAAAGTTGGAACCTTCCTTCAAGAGTTGTAACCTTGACCCAAAAAGGTTGGAACCCTATCAAAAAAGTTAGAACTTCTATCCAAAAAAGTTGTAACTCACCCTAAAAAAGTTGAAACCCCTACCAAAAAAGTTGGAACCCCTCCCTCACCCCAAAAATTATAATTCAATTCAAAAAATTTGAAAAGTTATAACCCTATCCAAATAACCAATAGTTAAAATCTCACCATAAAAGTTAGAACCCTTCCCCAACCATTAGAGCTCATCCTAAAAAGTTATAACTCAATTCAAAAAAATTGAAACCTGAAAAAGTTTATTTGATGAAATTGAATGTTTATTTGGTTTAAATTTGATGAATTGAATATTAAATGTTATTAGCTGACATTGTTAATTTGTTAAATTGAATATTACTTTGTTGTTGATTTGATGAATTAAATCTTTATTAGATGATTTTTATTTTAATTTGATGAATTCAATGTTAATTTAATGAATTAAATATTAATTGGATGAATTGAATTTTAATATGACGAAGATTATATCACATTTTTATTGAAACTGATTCCTTGTTTCAAATACTGCTGTACTTGAAATTTTTTTGTTAACAAGAATGAGTAGTCTAAGGTTTGAACAAACCAAAACCCATGATTCTATGTCGATGGTGATTATACAATCTCTAACCCTCTTATTCATCTTTCTAAATTACAAAACCATATATAAGATAATGAAACCAAGAATTTCACTTTGGTTGCACAAGTAATGCTATCCTATAGAGATATGAAAATATGAAAGATCCATTTGTTGATCAAGGTTATACATAGAAGCATAAAAAGGTAATGATTTTGTTAGTTTAATAATTTTCACTTTAAAATTAAAGTTGAAAAGAGACAAAAAAATACCCCACATTCCAATAGGCAAAAGTCATATATCAAAGAGTACTGCTATAAAAACATACTCTTTTGACAAAATGAAACCGAATTTTTAATGCTTTTCTTAATATCACAACCAACACAGCAAGATAAGGGTAGACCTTCCTCTACAAAAATACAAAACAACAAATGTAATTGACTTCAAACTCTATGTAGCTAATTTCGAGTAAAGACATTATCTATTAAACAAGCTCTGCANTAAATTGAAAATTACTTTGTTGTTGATTTGATGAATTAAATATTTATTATATGATATTTATTTTAATTTGATGAATTCAATGTTAATTTAATAAATTAAATATTAATTGGATGAATTGAATTTTAATATGATGAAGATTATATCACATTTTTATTGAAACTGATTCCTAGTTTCAAATATTGTTGTACTTGAAATTCTTCTGTTAACAAGAATGAGTAGTCTAAGGTTTGAACAAACCAAAACCCATGATTCTATGTCGATGGTGATTATACAATCTCTAACCCTCTTATTCATCTTTCTAAATTACAAAGCCATATATAAGATAATGAAACCAAGAATTTCACTTTGATTCAACAAGTAATGCTATCATATAGAGACATGAAAATATGAAAGATCCATTTGTTGATCAAGGTTATACATAGAAGCATAAAAAGGTACTGATTTTGTTAGTTTAATAATTTTCACTTTAAAATTAAAGTTGAAAAGAGACAAAAAAATACCCCACATTCCAATAGGCAAAAGTCATATATCAAAGAGTACTGCTATAAAAACATACTCTTTTGACAAAATGAAACCGAATTTTTAATGCTTTTCTTAATATCACAACCAACACAGCAAAATAAGGGTAGACCTTCCTCTACAAAAATACAAAACAACAAACGTAATTGACTCCAAACTCTATGTAGCTAATTTCGAGTAAAGACATTATCTATTAAACAAGCTCTGCAAAACAACATTTTGGACCAGAAGAGCTTTGTGCAAAGACATTAGCTAATTTCAAAAGAGTTTTGTGCAAGTCCAAAACATTTTGGACCAGAACAGATTGTTAAGATCTACTCAACAACAACATTAGAAGGGTGATGGTAAAGGTAGTCAACAGAGAAATCGGTCCAATTAATCGATCATGTGAGCTCTTTGATAAATGCTATACTCACTCTATGGAGAAACAAGAGATTTTCAATGTTTGTGTTGGTAAAAATTCACCAAAAAATGTAAACTTTTTAAAGTGTTAGTGAACGTTTTGCCTTAGCATCTTCATTTTTATTCTTGCCATTTTCTCTAGAGCTGTTCACCACTTAAACCTAGACATGTTACCACGCACTTAACCATGCCTGATATTTTTCCAAGCAAATCCACAAGCACCAACTTTGGATGATGCCTTAAAAAAATATTCTCACCCTCACTAACCACAACCATTCATCTCATCTCATCACATCCACCCTTCATCCAAAGAGCACAAACAAGCGTCCACACACCCCAACTCTCAATCGAAATTGACCCAGTGGATTATGAAGGCCACACAAGCCCAGTTTAAAAACACAACTAGCAATAAAAAATCTAGAAATCATAACTTCTAACAGAACATCCAAACACAATTTACTTAAAACACAGATCAATTTTCCTAATGCACACACAAATATTTATAATTTAATTCAAAAATAGCATTCAATATACACTAGGATTGTGAATATACACTTACAGACGTCTTTGGAAGCAGAGGACTGTTCATATGCCTTTATATCCTAGCACTCCACGAAGAATTCCCTCTGCATCCTCCAATATCTATCCATGTCTCTTGGTCTTCATGCTGGATATTCATCTTCTACCACGCTTCTAGATAAAAGGCAGAAATTTTCTATTTTGCAGGTGCTCAAAGGGAGAAGATCTCTCAGAGGTTGTTTCTCTCATCGAAAATGCAAGAGTCTGTGTTTTGGTCTCTTTTGTTCACGCGTCTATTCAGCTGCCCTATCTCATAGGTTTCTCAACCTATAAGACTATTCACCTTCTTCTCTGATAAGCAGGCTCAAAGCTCAAACGTTCAACTCTAACTCCCAGTTTTNGCAATTGACCCAGTGGATTTTGAATCCCACACAAGCCCAGTTTAAAAATACAACCAACAATAACAAATCTAGAAATCACAACTTCTAACAGAACATCCAAACACAATTTACTCAAAACACAGATCAATTTTCCTAATGCGCACACCAATATTTATAATTTAATCCAAAAATAGCATTCAATTTACACTAGGATTGTGAATATATACTTACAGACGTCTTTGGAAGCAGAGGACTGCTCATATGCCTTTATATCCTAGCACTCCACGAAGAATTCCCTCTGCATCCTCCAATATCTATCCATGTCTCTTGGTCTTCATGCTGGATATTCATCTTCTACCACGCTTCTAGATAAAAGGCAGAAATTTTCTATTTTGCAGGTGCTCAAAGGGAGAAGATCTCTCAGAGGTTGTTTCTCTCATCGAAAATGCAAGAGTCTGTGTTTTGGTCTCTTTTGTTCACGCGTCTATTCAGCTGCCCTATCTCATAGGTTTCTCAACCTATAAGACTATTCACCTTCTTCTCTGATAAGCAGGCTCAAAGCTCAAACGTTCAACTCTAACTCCCAGTTTTACNACGTCTGTTCAGCTGCCCTATCTCATAGGTTTCTCAACCTATAACATTGTTCACCTTCTTCTCTGATAAGCAGGCTCAAAACTCAAACGTTCAACTCTAACTCCCAGTTTTACCTCAAGCCTCCAGCCCAAGCTTCCATCTCAAGTTCAATCATCCAGCTCAAGCTCCAAGCTCCAAGCTCCAAGCTCAAACTCCTGCTCTCAGCTCATCAAGCATTCACGGGTGTCTTTTAATGCAGCCATATTATGAGCTAAGTTTTAGGTGATATAAAGGATCATGCTTTATAATTTTATTATTTCTTTAATTCTTGTATCATGCATGCATTGCTTCTATTATTCTATTTATTTTATTTCGTGTAATTAGGTGTAATTTGATTTTTTAATACAATCCATTAAAAAAAAATCTTTTTTTAAGGATTTTCATGTTAATTTTATGAATTGAATGAA